GACATGAACCACAAATTTTTAACTCTTTACCTGACGTTCATCGTGAAACTTACGAAGGTCTCTCGCCATAATTTGTTTATATACAAATTTTAATATCTTCCATGATCATTCCAACACAAAAAAAAAACAAAAACTTTTTTAACCGGTTTCTTTTTCAATGCAATGTCCATCTTTCTCTCTCTCTCCATTCTATCTCGGTGCAGTGCTCATATGAATTTATATTGAGAAAAATTTGTCAGAAAAACTAAAAAAATCTCATTTGTAATATGTGTGTGCAACTTGCTCATTTGTTATTCGAGTTATTTTGTAATTATTTCTTTTTATCAATTATGTTTGTCGAGTTTTAGAGTAAAAAAAAAAAAACAACAGCAACAACAAATCATAGTTGTACACGTTAATTTTTACTGAGAACACTGCAAAAAATTTTATTATACAAAACTTGTTTCACTGTAACAAGAAACGGTGTGAATAGTTATGATGAACATTCAACAAGATAATAATCACAGTCATCTAATTGAATGATGTGAAAGAGTATAGGATCATCTCCAAACTTAAAGTATTACATGCAACATATAGGCTCGACCATAAACAGCACTGTGATAAAAGAATAAAATGCTTCCGTCTCGATTCAATCAAATGGGTTGATTTTTCTGCTTAGTGGTACAAATGTATTTAAATTTTCATACAAATGAGAAAAATAAATCTACAAAACAAAAGTGTTTATTGAAAATAATATACTTGCTGTAGTGGTCTTGATTTTGAGATTAATCAAAAATAAAATAAAATTTATATATCTGAATTAAATACTTACTATTGAATTTTTTTTATAAGATAATGGGTAGTGATGAATTTTAGATAGTTTGGTAATACGATAGAAATACGGCCTAGTTACGGTAGGTAAATAGCTACCGTTTCTAAGCTGAAAACTGCCGTATACGGCCATTTGTTCGACCCCGAGAAGTACCGAAAGTCGATTTCTACCGGAAAAAATTATAGTCAAAATTCATATTCCAACTTTGTCTAGACACAAATAGAATTGCAATTTCGCTTGAACGTATTGGCAATTTATCTGTATTCAAATTTTGCCGACAAGATATGTATATGAACAATTAAAGAATACGTTGCTCACTTTTTGAATAATTTTTCCATTCCGAACAGATATGAATCGCTCAATGATTAATATTATGAATCTACCGAATGAAATAATTCTTACTATTTGGAGTAAATTGAACAAAATTAACGCACTTTACTCATTTTTAAATGTTAACAGAAGATCCGAAAAAATGATACTTAATAAGATTTATACTCTTTCTATTGAATTGGCAAAAAAAAATTGTGAAGAAAAAGACAATCTTTCATTATCTGATCAAATACTAAATCAATTTTGTTTGGTTATATCACCTCAAATACATTATATCGTTGAACAACTTATGTTTGAATCACTTTCTATGGAACGGATTCCTTACACTGGTCAATATTCTCGTTTATGTAAACTTCAGAGATGCAGTATCTGTCGTAAAAGGGAAAATAATTTGAAGAATTTCCATAAATTCGAGAGTTCCGAACAAACATCTCTAGATAATAGTTTCCAAAATATCTCTCTGAATGCGATATTTTTGTCGAGAAATTTCCTCAGACTCAAGGAAATTTGTCATATGCGCTCACCCGTACGCGAGTAGATTTTGCATTTCTGATAAACTTACCCTCATGAACGTTACACAAGAGTTAGCAATGCGAGGTTTTGCAGGTGAAATTGAGATACTTTCATGTGTTTCCGATTGTATCCAATTTGAAAGTCAATTTTCAATGATTCTCTACAGTGAGAAATATGAATACAACAAATATTCATATTTAAATTTAACAGACAATTCATATCATTAGGTAGTCTAATTTCAATTGAATAGAAACTTATTTTTAGAAACCGGTATCATATTTGAAGAGAATAATCTCAAATCAATAGATCGTAAGTGACTTTGTTTTAAATATCTAGATCAAAGATTGCTCAATTATTTTAATGAATATGCAAATTCTGGCGCATGTACTCTGAATTTCATTTCGATACAAACAATAATTGACGTTCTAATATTTTTAAGATAATTCAAAAATATCATGATAATGGAAAAAAAAGTTTTTTCGTTGAATAACATCAAGATTCTTTCGACAATTCAAAGATCTTCAAAATGAATGAATGTCAACAGAAACATCTAAAAATTAGAACACTGACAAAAACGTGGAACTTCACTTCAAATATCCCTTTAATTGAGATCGGCTATGAATTCATCACATGAAGAAATTTATGTTAATATATCTTCATTCAATGTTTCTTAATAGTTGAATAACATCTCAAAATCAGTTATTGACGATGAAGACGATTTAAATAGCTTTTAATTAATTTAATTTCACCAGAATATAATTAGCAAATTAGAATATGACGTTTATTGTAGCGACCTCTGTTGTGAGGCGTTTTTTATTTATATTAAAATGACTTTTTTTTTATTCAATATAAAAGTTTAATAATTCTTTTTTTATGTTAATAATAAAATGATACTAATTGTAAATATGATGATAGAATTGATTTAGTTGTGTCTTGATTTGTTATTTTCTTGTACATATGGTTCTTTTTTTGGTCACATGATTGCGTCTCGCTGAAACTAGCCGAATAACCAATCTAATTATTCTAAATCCTCTACCAATATCCATGCAAGCACAAAATACCGACAAGACAATCCATAGAATACAAATATATTCTCCTTAACAACCATAAAAAAATGGATGCACTATACTTATTACTACCGACAAAACTATTAAAAAATAATTTTGCGAACTACACACAGGCATCAGATGTCGCAGTTGGTTCCCTTGTTAGAGGAAATTATGTTCACACCTTTATAGTCTGTGGACATATATACATGAGTCATCCAATCAATGTAGAAATCGATATCCACTAATGCACTTAGTCCAAACTGAAGGGTCAGAAAAAACAAATTTGATAAAAACGTATAGAAACAACAGGTATATTTACCTGCATATTTTGTTTTCAGGAAAAGTGAGTTTCACCTAGATGATGGCGCTACACTACATGCGGAATTCAATTATAGTATTATCAATTTTGTGTGAGAATGAATCGACGCGAAAGATGTCAGTAAATCAGTGCTTTTATTTTGGTTTAGTTCCATGATTATACTGGGTCAGAAGAGTTTGACTTCATAAATAATCTTTATTAGTGATGTACTTCATATGCTATTAATAAGAGCTTCCAAAAATGAGTTTCATCCTAGGTGTCGCCACACATAGTGCATTCGACATTGATTGGTGTTTCCCCATTACTTTTTGCCGTCAGACTACGTACTATTACAGACTCTGTCTGAGAACCATAAAAACTGATACATGTCAAATTATTACTAGTACCAACAACATCAGAGAGAAAATTTGTACCAACTTTTAAATGGTAACAATCGATGTAGCTGGATCAGTTGTTGAGGAAAATGATGCTCACACGTTTAAAGATTCTATCTGAGTCCTTAGAGAATCTGTTTTTCTGAATGTATGAAGGAATTGATTATGGGAGTGCTGGTCATGTTTAGCTGAACTTGGACTATGTAGGGTGATACCATCCGACGAAATTTTGACTATTTTAAAGATAGCTAAATTTGTCGAGCAAGGCGTTTTTTTTTAAAGCTAATCTCCATGTCACATATGTTTGAAATTGATTTGTGTGTAGCTCTAGCGAGATGTTCAATGTTCGGTTGTTATTTGGGTGTTGCGAGCTCTCATTATAAGGTAGAAAGAGGTATTTTATTTTGAAAAAATATTTGAAGTACATGACGAAATGTACGAATGGTTGAAATAGTGATGAGAATAGTGAATATGTTCCATTGGATTGATTTGATATCATTATATGTGTGTTAGTTTTGGTTGTAGTAAATGTATGGCGAATTGTACACGAATATTATTAATATTCATTTTAGTGATTGGTGACTACTTTGTTGAAGTGATTCACTTACCTTTAAAATATTCAAAGTTTCGTCGGATGGCATCACTCTACATAGCCAAGGTTCAATTAAACATGATTAGCACACACATAATCAATTTCTTCATACATTCAGAAAAACAGATTTCCCAAGTATCCAGACGGGATCTTTAGAGGTATGAGCATCATTTTCCTCAACAACTGAATCAGCTACATCGATTGATGCATAGTAAAAGTTAGCACAAATATTTTTTGTGATGTTGTTGGTAGTAGTAATACTAGAATGTATATGAATTTGTGTTAGTCTCCTCCTCTATGGAGTGTTTGTCGGTGTAAATAGGATTTCCGTCGATAACTGACCCTATAGTGTACCGATTGTTGCTATTTAAAAGTTGGTGCAAATTTTCTCTCTGATGTTGTTGGTAATAGTAATTTGACATATATCAGTTTTAGTTATATTGAAAAAAAATAGTTCAAAAATTTTGTTCTCTATTGTATATTGTTACTGAAATCATTCTTGTTTGTACTTTTTTGTTGACAATAAAACTTAATAGCAATTAATAATAATATTGATTATCAATTGTTAGGGTAAGACAAGTCAAATGACAAAATATATCTTATTTTATCATCACTAGGACGACCATTTCCAAAATCTATTTCTTGTTTGTCCTCTTCAATAGTGATTTACGAATACTACGATATCTATTGCTTAATAAGTTGTCCAATAGAATCACTATTTTCTTCCGCCTGAATGATACGGTTCGGCTAACTTCACAGTGGTGTTTCTACTACATTTTGCACTCCTCTTTAACATAAAACACAATCTGTATCTTGAATATACGGGTAAAGATTTTAACTGTAGATTTGAGATATTACCAGTCAAAGTTATTATTTTCTTTTTATAATCTGTATAAAAAAAATTATCAATTTAATTAAATAAAGATCTTTTTTTTTGTAGAAATCTTTAGATTTTTTCACTTGTTGACATCAATTTTTGTCTGTTTTATTCAGTAAGATCGAAATAAAAAAAATGAGTCAAGAACGAGATGGATCAGATGAGCGAAGTAATAGTAAAACATCACATCATCATGATTATTTAGTTAAAATTCATGGCATTTCGTATTCATCGAATAAAGATGATATTAAAAAATTTCTCTATCGTAAGTGAAAACATTCAATATTTATTTAACTAAAACTTATTATATTTTTTTTTTGTTCATAGCATGTCGTATTGTTGCTATTCATTTATTCGATAATAATGGTACTTCATCAAGTGATTGTTTCGTTGATTTAGAATCTGAAATTGATGTTAAAGATGCCTTAAAAAAATCAGGTCAATATTTAGATAAAAGATACATTGAAGGTAAAATATAAAGAAAATTTTACTTCAACGTTTTTATTTTTTCTCTATTAAATAATAACTTTTAACTTTTCATACTGTTTAGTCTTTCGAGCAACTACTTATGAATATAATTTTCATGTTCAACATAAAGGTATGGTTTCATGGCATGAACCTGTTATTCGAATGAGTGGTCTTCCATTTGCTTGTACAATGGCTGATGTACAAAATTTTTTTGAAAGTAAATAATTTAAAAAAAGTCAATAAAATTTTAATTTGCAATGTATTTAGATATTGAAATAGCAAAAAATGGTATTTATATAACACGAGATATGGCAGATAAAGCATTGGGTGATGGTTTTGTGGCTTTTGTCAATATGGATAATGCTTATAAAGCAATTGATATGCATAATCATAAACATATTCAGCACAGGTTTGGTTGGCATATGGTCTTTTGATAAAAAATGCAAAAGAATTAGTAGCACCAGCAGCAGATTTAATTAATGGAGTATAAAATGAAATGAAGGAAAAAAAGCAGGGAGGGTTAGGTGTGAGAGGTGAGGTGCACTTATCAATGGTGTTGCCGGATTTATGACAGGTAGAAACAACAAAATACATATTCATTATAATATGTGTGCTTTCATATGTGTTTTGAACTTCTATAATTTTATATGTGTAAAAGATGTTTATTGATAGATTTCGTGTTTAGTGTTAATATGTTCAAGGAGATGTTTAACATTGATTTTTTTAATTTTCTTTTTCTATATAGATATATTGAATTATTTCCATCGACATATGATGAAGCGAAAAGAAGAATTATGAATGATGCTCGTTCAAATGCAAGACAATTTGTAGGCGAAGATGAAGATGATGATAATAAAAATAAAAATAATAATAATACTAATAATAATAATACTAAACGAAACTATCAAAGTCGAAGTCGCAGTCGACAACGATCACGAACATCAAGTCAAGGTAATTATTTGTGTGTTCTCTTAAGTTATTTGATAAGACTTTTTTTATGCTTTTCTAATATAATTATGATAGATTATCGTCAACGAGAAATGAAACGTCGTCATTCGCCATCCGTCTCACCTCCTCCACGAACTTATCGTAAGAAACAAAAACAAAAGATTTTATTACTAAATGATAAGAAAAACGTCTTTTTCGTTTAGCTTCATCAAAAAGTATAAATCAACGTAAGTTGTAAAATTCATGAATTTAAATCTCTTAATTGAATAAATTCGTATTCACTTATGTTAAAAATTCTTTTTTTTTGAACAGGATCATATAATAATTATCGTCGTCGTAGTCGTAGTAGAAGTTTAATACGACGTTCATCTTCTCGAAATGAAGAACATCTTGTTAAAATACGTGGTATGCCTTATACTGTTGTTGAAGATGATATTCGAAAAGTAAAATCTATTCTAAAATTTAAACAAATAAAAAAGTCAAAGAAAATTCTTAATAGTTCTTTCCTGAATCTTGTCAACCAAGTCGTATTGAAATTTTACAAGATCGACGTATGAAACGACCAAATGGAGATGGTCATCTTTATTTTAATACTCTCGATGAAGTCAATGAAGCATTAAAATATGATCGAAAATATATGGGTAACAAAAAAAAAAATTGTTTGTTGAAAAAGATAAAATAAAATATTTTTCTTATATACAGGTAGTCGTTATGTTGAAATTTATTTTGATTCACCTCGCTATGCATCATTGAGTAATCGACGAAAAAAACCTGATGTTATTTCTCATCGTTCATCTTGTTCTCCACCAAGATCAAAATATAATCGTTATAGTCGATCAAGAAGTATGCTATTTTTTTTATAAACTGTGGTCTATTCAGTATAAGGATGGCATTTCTTCTTCAAAAATCGAATTAGCTCGTCTGGAAGAGAAAATCTAGATAAAATATTGTTTCATTTTAATAGGAAAATTTTCCCTTTTTTTTTTGTTTTTTTATTTGAATTCTAGGTGACTCAATGAATTAGATTAAATGACGAATAACTGTAAATAAAACATTTCAAGTGATCAACTGATTGGTATTATTTGTTTTGTTATTTGCTCATCTGTGGTATTTTCCGACAATAAAAAAAAGCTTTATTCAACGAACTTAGAAATTAGTCAAGTATAACACATCAGCATATTAAGGTCGATTCTAAGAATATTCTTGCTTATTTTTTGTTTTCTTTTGATATTAATTACTTGTTTTGTTGAAAAAAACATGCATGTTTCTTTCTTTTCTGTGTTTGTCTATTGAAAAAAAAAAATAAAAGGAAATATAGTCTATGACTAAGCCATACTTGACTCACGTTTTTTGTTTTTCTTTCCAATCTTTCATCATAGTAAAGCAATCTTAGTATTATAAAAGTTAATGATTCCAAATATTTTTTTAAAGATTTTATAAATCTACAGTCGAAGTAATAAAAATAAACGATGTCAACAAATCCTACAACAAATACTGAAACATTTGACGAACACTTGGTTGGTGTAAGTAAAGAAAAAAAACGAGTACTTTGTTGGATGATTTTTTCTATTAATAATTTTTTTAGCCATTTGCTGTTGTACCAAAAACAGATTGTCCCCATTTAGCCAATTATACGTATACATTACCGCAATCAGCTCATCGTGTTCATGGTCGTCAACCAGCTTGTACTGATTGTGGTGAAAGACGAGAGAATTGGGCTTGTTTAGAAGAAAATTGTCAGCAAGTGAGTTATTATATAAATAAAAAAAAACGGCAGCTCTCAAAATAAATTTTATATTCTCAGATTGGTTGTTCTCGTTATCAAGAAAAACATATGCTGGCACATCATCAAAATACTGGACATAATATATGTTTGAGTCTATCGGATCATTCGTTTTATTGTTATGCTTGTGAATCGTACATCGATAGCCCAAAATTAACTCAAGTTAATCAACAATTAATTGCTTCTCAGGAGCAGTAAAGACAAAAAAACATACAAAAATGAATTATTTTCGCTATTTATTATTGATTCATGAACTATGATACTCTGATTTTTTTTCTTTTAATTTTACAGTCTAGAAACTACTCTTTAATTCAGGATTGCAAGGAATGAAAACAAATTGAGCGTGACAGATACAAGAAATATTTTATGAGAGATGAAATGATGCATATAGAGTTATTTTTAAAAGTGAGAAGTGCAAAGTTCTTTTTTCATTCTACGATCTATTGTTTTTTGAATACAAACAAGGTTTTTTCAACGTGGGAGTGCGGACTCTTACGTCATCCTTCTCGTCACTAGATCCTTGTTTGGATTCTGTAAAAAATTTTTATACCATTCATTAAAAATCTAATTTTGAAATCAAAACCAATAAAAATGAATATACAACATTGGAAACTTAATGGACGAATTCTACTAAACAACTGGAAATTACATTTCTTCTCTCGAATAATTTGATCATTTGTTTGTTTTGAATTTTATTAAAAACTGATCTTTATCAATAAATTTGAATGAATTTGCTCGTCTTATTAGATAAACTGTTTCAAGTCATAATGTTGAGTTTTTCTTATCGAATAGGACAGATATCATTAAGGAAACATAAAAAAAAAAGATATCATCTAACAGATTACAGGTAAGCAAGAATTTAAATACATCTATTCTTAAATGAGTATTTGGAGGCAAAAGGATGAAAAAGTCAAAGTCCGAGAAGCTGCTTGAAAAGAAATATGTAATACTATCTTGGTAACAGAAAAAAACACAGCAATTACCGAAATCAATAAGGAGAACCAACAAGAAGAATTTTACCCTAGTCGGCTCTGACTTTTAGAACTAACAGTGCGCCTCTGAAAAATATAAAATTACGGATGAATCTGCAGAAAGTCCCGAGTGACTTTACGAGAAGTTCATGAGAGTATGATATTTTCAAGGAGATAGAAGTAAAAAGAAAAACAGTGTATGGAAAAACTTCAAGAACTTGCAGGAGAATCCACGTGAGAGTGCATCGATTGTACATTGGGAACTCAGCTTCGAATTAAGAACAACATTAATTTTTAACAAATAGACTGCATTCTTTTTATTTAGACTATTCAACAAACGCTGAAAAAAGAGTTAAGACAATGTCACCTATGCTCTCACTGATGAGAGACGCATATCAAAACTGTGAAAGATAAGATCATTTAGGATTGTTTACAATAATTGTCGTTCTTAAGAAACTTCTGTCGTGATTCTCCAAGAACATTGTTAACGAAAATCCTCGAGAACTCTCACAGGAAGATTTGATGAGAATAATGAATAAGACAACAAAGCAAAATAACGGAAAATAAACAAGAAAATAGAAGTCTTAATCGATAGTCACTGTATTTTTTCAATGTTATAGATGTATTGCAGAAATAGACAGGGCTGTTCCGCGCTCTTGCTTATATTTACACGATTCATATGTCTCTTTGTTGTCTTACTCTGTAAATACTATTCGGAAGCGCAATATCGTTCCTTCAATGTTATTTCAGCATGAATAGAATCATGAGATGGCACAAAGTACGCTCCATAGAGATTTGCATCACGTTGCATTAATGTGTGCAGGAGATCGCGGCGGTGTAGAATAACTCTATCTGTTTCTACTGTATTCTTTTTTACTTTTATTAACTTAGTTTCTCTCGTTGAATTACAATCCAAAGCTTATTTTGAAATCATATAAGCAAGAAAATACATAAAGAAAAATAATTCCGAAGTCGATTATATTGATGAAAGAGTCAAACTTTATTTGTCTCATATTATATCCATATATGTTTATTAATCTTTTGTTAAAAAGAGGAAGAATATTTATTATTTATTTAATAGACAATATTCAATTAGATATTCATAGGAATCGATATTTTTTTAAAGAATGTTATCGAGTTTATTCATTCGAAGTAATACTATTTTAGTCTCGTGAATCAAAAGTCAATGAAATAATTTGACATTCAGAAACGTCAAAGGGCAATCAACAACTAACGTCTATTTAGGTTATTATATTTATCTAGCGATTGTCAATCTACAGACTTCAAATATGTCACATGAATAAGAAATTAAGCATTTGATCTTACGTTTGAAAGGAAACCTATTAATTTTTAATCACTTCCCGAATAATTCAATATGTATTAGACCAACAATTCTTTTTGTCTTAAGCTAGTCAAAGACAAAAAAATAAAAAGAAAGAAGAGTTTTTAATGACATACTCTTAATTTAATCGAACTTTATGCATGTTCCTTGATTTCTTCAAACTAATCCTTATAACTAAGATTAAAATCACTATAGCAAATAACGTCATGAAACTGTAATCTTTATTTTGTTAAGCTATGCGTATTGTTTCTTTTTTTCTTTTTCTATAATAATTTTGATTGCATATATTCGTAAGTATGTCTTATAGTTGCAATTAGCATGAAATAAGTAACATTTATCTTGTTGATTATCAAAAAAAAAATGGATTATCCAATATATCAGAACGAAATTCGTTTAAAAAAATTTGAAAATATTATTCATAAATATAATATTAATTATGATTTTGCATATCGTCTACGAGCACTTGAAGGTTTTGAAATTGTTATGATAGTTGATGATAGTTCATCAATGTGTACACCAATTGTTGATTATAATCAAGAACATATATCATCATTTAATCAATTACCAACCCGTTGGGATGAACTAAAACATATTGTATCTATTATTGTTGACTTAGCTGGCACGTTAGATCCACATGGTATGGATATATATTTTCTTAATCAACAACCACTTTTACATGTTATTGATTCCTCACAACTTCATGAAACATTTTCTCGTTTACCCAACGGTCCAACACCTATTACACGTGTACTTAATTATGTATTGAATTTAAAACGTTCACATGTATATGAACGTAAATTATTGATTTTAATTGCAACAGATGGTTTACCAACAGATGACAATGGACAAAATGATCTTGATAGTTTAGAAAAAGTTTTACTTTATGAAAGATATCCATCAATTGATCGAATGTATGTAACATTTGTTGCTTGTACAAATGATCTTCAAACAGTTGCTTGTTTAAATAACTTTGATAAAAATATTCCTTATGTTGATGTTCTTGATGATTATCAAAGCGAACGAATAGAAGTATTAAATGTACAAGGTAAACATTTTCCATTTAGTTATGGTGATTATGTAGTTAAACTTTTATTGGGTTCAATTGATCCATGGTTTGATTATTTAGATGAAAAAAAAGTTAAATTAACTTCTTTGGGAAGACATCAACTACAAAATTCTTCAACACACAAGACCAATTGTATAATATCTTAAATGGAAACTGAATAGTCACAGAAAAAAAAAACTATATGGGTTGCTTTAATTTTTTTTACATAATGTATAATTTTGCATGAGAATTTTTGAGACATAAATTCTCTTCCAACCAAGAGAATTAGTCTTGAAATCATCATATTTGTATTGGATAGAATCACATGCCTGTTATCATATGTTCAAATGTTTACTGTGTACTTCAAAAATCGAAATCAATAGAAAGATCTCATTTTCATGCGTTTAACATGTTTTTTTCAAAATGAAAAAGATGCAAATCAAATAAATTGATTATTCGATTGGTTTTTTTTAAGCATTGATAGTATAATTTAATGGAAGTTATACAGATTTGAAAAAATATATAAATTAATGAAAGGAATTGTGAAAGAGCTACTGTTATGTTAGATGAAATCAAGTTGCATTAAGATGATGAATTCATTGACGAGATTTGAAGGAAAGTTGAGAGATTGATATTAAATCATCACTACGACGATTCTAAACAAAAAGAATTTTTGACGTTTTGTTTTCATTACATGGTTTTCTGATAACTTTCAAGAATATAAAAAACAAAACAAACAAGCGACATCAGAACTAGTTGAAATAAAATATCGAACAGCTTTTCAAATTTAGAATTTAGTTTTCACTTAATGTTCGAGTTTCTTTTAATATTTTTATGAGTGTTTTAGAGAATAATTATTTATAGAAGAATCATTTCAAAATTGAGTATTTCAAGAGCTTTCCTAGTTTGTTGCTATGACGACAAACTCTCGCAAGTTTGACGCATTAAGAAAAATCTGAAATTAATACTCTTGACTCAAGCGTTCTTTTTCCTTAATGATAGAAAAAATAAAAATTCATTACCATGATCGGTCGTCTGTAAATAAAACCTTTATTTTCTTCTTTTTCAAGTTCATCTCGTGTTTTTGATGTTGCTGCTCGTTGCCTTGCTGCCTGTCGATAACGTTGTGCTTGCTGTTCAGCTCGTTCTCTATTAAAATAAAGTCGATTAATAATCAAATAATTAATTATGAAAAATCTAACTAACTTATGTTTTTGAGCTCGTACAATTCGACAAATTTTGGCAGCTCGTTTTATTTCATTATCATATGTTTCAGCGCTAACTGATGGTACTTGAATTATTTGTGGATGTGATATAAAAAGTTGTGTACCAGTATTTTTAAACATTTGACTTGAACGTAAGAATTTTTCTGTTAATGGCGAATTACCATTTAAATCAAAGCGATAATCTTCGAAAAGAACACGACGACTATGAAAAACAAAAGAATATTACATAAGAATCTGACAAAATTTTTATTTAAAGAAGGCTTATAGCGCATGCAAATCATGCAAACATGCAAAGAATTGCTTAAGAATAATGTAAAATAAGAGAAATGAAAAGGTTTCATCAAACCTGAATGTTTTTGTCGATTACCTAAATATGACTTTTGTTTTTTTTCTTTAAAGTTAAATCAAATAATGAATATATTTAAATAAATATACAGTAGTGAATAAAAGTCTTCTACCATCCGTATCTCGACTAACATCCATTCTATAAGTAAAGTAGAGACTATATGCATTATGACGACACAAATGAGGTATAAATACTTTGAAAAGTGTTCGTATCCTTAAGTTATTGCTACGGTAATACTGCACTTTGATGGTAGTTTTTCAAAGAAATGTCATGATCCCTTCAGAAGCACCACAAAAATTGATTTTTGAATTTCAGCTTGAAACTTTACATAAAATATGTCTTAATGAGCATGATTTTCTGTGAATATTTCAGATTTTGTCACTGATACTATCCTAAGATACAACTGTGGCAAGAAGGTGTCTTTTACATCTTCCATATAAACCAGTAAATTGGTATTTTTATTTCAGGCTAGAAGGAAATGAAGCGAACTAAAATTTTCATAGTGAACTACTCTTGTTAAGATCTCTCGCCGTTCAAGTTTTCTAGTCGACATTCGAAAATCAGTTTTTCTGCTACTACAGCATTCATGTGAAAAATACTGTAAAAGAGTAGTATTTGTGTAGCGATAAGCTATGACCACCAAATCTTTTCAAGATAATCATAGCTCATTTGGATCCCTATGAAGTGGATAGCTTCGAATCAAAAGTGATTCACCATCTGGAGAACTTCGCGCATCAGAGAAAGTAACGTTCGACAGAATTAGCTAATCTGTTGACTAAAAAACTGAACATAGACTTGGCTCTACGTGCATGCTAAAATATAAAAACTTAGTTTTGTACTTAAAACAGGTGAAAGAAATTTCAGTAGACAATCTATGTCAAATTAAAAGCTTAAAGCAAAGAAAGGTGATACCCTTCATCATAAATCTTCTTGTATGTAAGCAATCGAGATGACCTCGTACTGTTGAAGTAAATTCTTAGTGCAGAATGTGCACACAGAGTTCGAGACTTCCGGCATGTATTGTATTCATGATACAGTGAAGGGAGACTTTACTTCACTACTGTATATATATATACATAAATTCTTCTTACTCAGGTAATGGGTCATATGTATGCTTATACATTTCATCCAGAAGTTCATGTGGTTCTTTGCGTTTATTTAGTTTGAATGATACATGATAAGAACTTGAAACAGCACTTTCACTTCCAGAAATTTTTGCACCATTTATCACTGAACTACGTGAAGTTGATGGCATCGTTAATAAAGTATTTGGTGCTGATGGTGCTGTTGTTACTGTAGGAGCGGCTACTAAAGTTGGTGAAGGTGTTGTTTCTTTAAATGATATTTTTTCTTGCTGAACAATTTTTGATCGCCACTGTTCATATCGACGAGGTGGTGCTGGAATGCCACCTAACCATAATTGACAAATGTTTGAAATTGAATTTTTAAATGTATCTAAATTAACTAATTCTTTCATGCGTTGACCAGGAGTCTCTGATAAATTTCCAAGTTCTAATGGTGTATTTTTATTTTCATCATTGTTTTTTCCAGCTGCTTCAGCATCAGCAGGCATCTGCTTAATTGATGCTGGAAAACATACTTTAAAACATGCAAAAATAGTTTCAGCTAAAAGTGATGGATAAACCTAATAGAACAAAAGAGATAAATGAAAAAGAATTTTAAAAAAATTATTAGAACCTGGAAACATTTATCGCGATAACGTAAATCGATTTCCATCATAAGAAGAGCAACATAGTTATTTGAAGATCTTTCAAGTAATTTCTTTTGAATTTTAGGTTGATTTTGATAATTTTCAAGAAATACCCACCAAAACATGTCCTAAAAGAAAGTAATACTTAGAATACGACGTAGATCGATATTGATACGTATGAACAACAATTTCTCATTGTTAATTGTATATTAATGATTCAATTTATCAGTCTCTGAAATACATTCTTTTGTGAACCTCACGTATATTTTTGCAGAAAAATAATAAGTGTAAGTTTAAATTGAGGGCTTTTTAGGCTCCCTGCTTCCCTAGTCTGTAACAATCGAAGGTGAAAGGAGACAGACCAAAGATTATGGGGTAAGTCTTCATAGCAATCCAAAGGCAGGAAAGTCAATGTTGATGGACCAAATCTCCCTAGCAGTGGGAAAAGATGCATCAGTAATAAAAGCAGTTAGATCATTCTGTAACTTTCTATTATACAGCAGGCTAATATGGTTGTTGAACCAACGAAAAGAAGAATAAAGTGACATTTGCCGTTTTCCATGGCATGTAGCGTCTATATTGTCATTAGAAGAAAATATAGTTATGTATTGAAGGTGTATTTGACTAAACGAAGGAGTTATTCCAGTGTAACAATTTTCTAAATTGGTAGAATGGTGATTCTGAAATTTATCAGTTTTCGAAATCGTCAAATTTCAGGGCGCATGTATCCACAATCAAAATTGTTATAATTTTGTTTTTTTTTTTCATTTAAATCCTGACTGCTAACGAAGCCGCACTGACAAGTTTTTTAATCTATTTCATTCATCCGTTGATAAAACTTACCAAAATTAAGGCTTTTGTTGGCATAGAATAGTAGAGTTCAATTAACGATTTAATGTATGGTGCCTGTAAGTTTCAATTAAACGACATACTTTATATACCTAAATTTACTCTTTACTTGTTTTGATAGAGTATATCGTTTTGGAAGCACATGTCTCATGACTTGTTTATCGAGAGAAATATTAAATGGTAATGGAGTAACACGATTGTCTTCAAAACCGGGATATTGAAAAATTTCTAATAATGTTGATTGATCTTGATCTAATAATGTGTTAGAACTTCCCTATAGTATAACAATTGTTGAAGATATATTTTGATTAAAAATGATATGTTTACTTTTGGTTTAACTGTTGCTGTAATTTGATCTTGAAAAGTAGATTTAAAAGCAAGAAGACCCGCAAATTGCTGTACTTGTTGTCTTGATTGTCCTGTAAATAAATAAAGAATATAAATATGAAAATTTTTGTAAATACAAGGAAAAAAACGAAATCAAACCATTTTGTATTGCATTAGCTCGAAGTTTTTCGGAAGTAATTAATGCTTGATTTTTACTTGCATCCGATGGGGCTTCAACTGATCTTAATGCTCGATCAAGTTTAGAGATTTTATCATTAATTAACTCAAGAAGATTAATACCAGTTAAGGCTAAAAAACGAGGTCTTAACTTGTTCATTAAGCTATCGAACACAACAAAAATCAAATATATTTACGAGTAGTAAGTTCTTCTTTAAGTTCTGTTTCCAAATCTTTTTCATCATTGATGTCATTTGTCGTGAATCGTGCAGGGCTACTACCATCACTTTCAATAGTTGATACAGCAGATGATACACGTGATGTGCGATGTGTACTAGGACTTGATAATCGTTTAGCTGAAGCACTTCGAATACGATCGGATGATTGTGGTCGCGCTTCACTACTCGAAAAAACGACCACAGGCGAATAAACACGAGCTATGTCAACCATGAAAAACAATCAAGGAATATTTTTTGTCGTCCTGGCAAAGGAAAGAAATCAATCAGACTTGACTTTAAGTTTGTATATATAATAATTAAAGAAAAATGTGCGACATCTAACGATCGATTTCTTTCAATGAATAAAGGTTTCTTCTTAGTTTCTTTAACCTCAAATGGCTTCTCGTTAGTTGTTGAAACAAATTTTTTGTCACCTTATTATAATTCGTAAAAAAAGATGGCATCTAGTTTACGTACAAAAGCAGTTGAACGCTCAATAAAAATTAATTCAGCAGCTTATTATTCATATGTTGATGATAGTAAAAATCCAGTTTTACAAAGTTTTGAAGCACAAGTATCTGATTTTAAAAATTATGTTGCAAAACAGCAAAAATCAAATCAATCAATTGATGGTCGATTGTATGTAGAGAACGATATTATTTTAAATTTTTATTATATACAAATATAATATTTTCACAGATCAGAAACATTATTTCAATTATGGAGTGCTTATCAGCCAAGATTATCTGTACGAATGTATTGTGAAAAATTAATGCATCTTGGTGAATATCTTGTTGCATATGAAGTAAGTTATATTTTTGAACGTTTTCAAAAATCTGGTCTCTTTTTATGAGAGAAATACATCAGTGTTCGGACTCGAAGTCGAGATGTTGACTTTCAAAACTTTCTAAATCCGGATAGGAAAGTCAAAAATGAAAATAGTTTATTTGACCTGTGGATGATACTTTCAACTATCTCTAGAAAAAACTTCAATCGGATCGGACAAAATCTGAGAAAGTTTGTAAGCAATCAGAATTGAGAAAGCTGGCGTTGAGTGTCATGCTGAGTAAAAAAAAGCTGAAAGTTTATCCTTAATGAAAAGAAAAAAAATAAATTTGGTTTGTTTATCTATTCTTAATTTATAGAAGTATAATATTGCATTATTTCAATGTTATCAAAGATATTTAAATGAATTTGGTTCATTTCATATGCAAGATTTTCAAACAGTAGATGAAATTGAAGAAAAATTTTTTCCACTTGGTTTATCTGATGTTACGGCTGATATATCTGTATGTTCAAAAAAAAAAGAAGCAATCCTTTGTTTTCTATGAAATTATGTTATTTCTTATATTTTACAGTTTCGAGCTTTAATGGGTTGTGCTCTATGTTTATTTTATTTGGCTATTGAACAAGATCCAAAAGTACAATTAGATGAAACACTTGACCGATGTTTAATAACACTTTCATTTATTCGATTGCTAATGAATTTAGCATTGAAAGATGATCGATGGTCATGGCTTGTTTATAATGGAACAATTTATTTATATAAAATGAGTCGTTATTTAATGACATTGGGTTATTCTTTAAAGGTTCTTGTTGTTTTAAATAAGATATTCAATTTTTCAACTTAAATATTTTCTTTTACATTTATAAAGGTTGTAGAATATCTTGTATGGGCTGCTATTAGTACAGAAATGTGTTTACCATTATTATCTATATCATATTTACCATGGCGATCAACATTGTATTGTGCAGCATGTGAAGCATTTTATGATAGTCGGATATCACCCGATAATGAAGTAGGAAAATTTATTTAACAAAATAAAAAAAAAATTATGATTTAAATTGTCTACATATTTTAGAAAGCAATGGCTGGAGAAGTATGTATGCTTACACATATTTTACTGAGAAATCATCAGTGCCGAGTATTTAAAATTAAATTTTGAATCAAATGAAACATTTCATAAAGCTATTCATCATCTTAGAAAAGACTAATATTGAATTGGATTTAAAATGTTATTTAGGTTATTGACATATAAATAACTATTAGAATGATAATTAATTTATAGGACGAAACAGCCTTTTTAGAACATTTACATGCTTAGATAGCATATTTTTCCAGCACATGATCACATGAATCATCAAAAATTGTAGCAAAGACGAAAATACTAAGCAAAAAACGCTATATCATTGATGAATGATTCAACCTGAAGTCATTCTTCTATGCATTTATTTAAATTTCGATAATTCTAGCAGCAATGGAGTTTTTTCGAAGGAGAAGAACTCGTAATTTCTATCAATCGAACAGTTCTGAATAAGTAAAATCATTATTTAACTTTCATTGTCTTTTTCTTTTAAGAACAACACATCGTAGTCGTATGTTACAAAATGATTTAAAACTAAGTCACTATTTGTACAGTGATTCGATGTATATTTTAAGATGTTGACTACGAAATTCATTTTTCTCTAAAATTAATCTTGAATCATATTTTTAAATATACGAATTAATCTCAAGAAGAAAAATGTCAATAAAAACTTCTATCTTTTGTTGTTCAATGTGAGTTCACAATAAATTCGTATGCATAAAAATTTCATTTGCAAATCTGAAAACCCATGATCAGTGCTTTATTTAGACTTTCTCTTCCAGATGAATGATTTTAAAATCAGAGAGGACGAGCATCTATTTTTGGGAGCATAAACACATAGTGCTTCGTAGAATAACCAGAAACTCTAACAGGATCATGCTGATCTGCGACAGAGCGCTCTTCGTTCGGTCCTTATGCTGAAGAAATCACTGTCCATAATATTCAAAATGTGCGTCACGTTTATCATAGTCTCTGTATTACTAAAATCATGTTAATTTGGATCTATTGGAATACTAGAATGATATATAATCTGGATTTTTCGTATCTTTTCTTCTTGAATATACTATTAAACATTTCTTATCACATGATTATTGAATTTCTTTGATTTTTCATTAAGAATTTCGCCCGACGTGGATTAGAACAATTTAAAAATTTACATGAATTACAAGCTCTTAGTGTTGAGGGTGATAAATGTCAACAAGAAAACTCTTTTCGTCATGCAACAATTAAAATAGCTACGATGATATTTAAACGAATGGTATTTGAAAATCGTCGAAAAGCAAAAAGTGTACTTCGACCTAAATTTCGACAAAATTATAGAGAACTTAGTGGTCCATGGCCAAGAACATTAACAGAAAAATTACTTAGTGATATGTTTGATTGTCGTTGCGCACAATTTTTAGCTATACTTCAAGCATTATCCGATAGTAATCGACGTTTAGTATTAACTAGTCCAGCAGCAAGTGAACAAGAAATTGAAATACTTGACGTTACAACTGAATTATTTTATGCTGCTCAATATATTTTACAAGGTAAAAAAAATAAAACAAAATAACATCATATACTTAGATCAGATGAAAAGTTATGTTACTTTCAAAATTTTATTAAATTTCATTGTCAATGATAATATCATATAGATGCCCTGAACAACTTTTGGACTTTTCTAAATTCTTGATATAAATATTCACGCGTTACTGTCATTGTTTTTTGTATCGGTTTATCAGATACGCATCTTAACAATATCTTCCTTGGCTGTAGATGCTGTTTTAGAATAATATGCACACTGTCGAAAGATGTATTCAAGATGTCGGCTATTAGATCAATACTTCTATGTGACTCTTAATTCATCAGGTTTTTCATTGAGTCAGTATTTTCGTAGGTAACAACGGCTATTGGATGTGCGTTGAGAGGATTATCTTCTAGCGACTCTCATTCACTTGTAAAATCATGACAATAACGGGCAATGAAATTATACGATAATGATCTTGTTCAAAAGTATAAATCAATTTGTCATAGAATGAATTGCAGCTAAACCCAACCATGAGCGAGTTTTTATAAAGTAGCACATATAGCATTTATCCATCGGACAATGCAGATGAAGAAAAATTAACTAAAAAAACGGATATTGTTATGAGTTGTAAAGATTGATATTCACAGCTTAGCACATAACTTTTGTGACTCCCCTAAATACAAATCAATTGTGTTTATTTTGAATTTTTTTTTAGTTAAACATGCAAACGTTGATCAAATAGCTGGAGCAAATGAAAATAGTACATATCCCAATATAACATTAAAACAAGATGTTAGTTTAATTGATTTGGCTGTTAATGGTTAGTTTTAAAAAAATATTTTCTTTTGTAAAAACAAAATGTGAACTTTTCCTTTTATTTTAGGCCAATATGTTATACCTTTATCATACGTTCTTCAATTACTTAAGTTGGCATTTAATTATCAAGTTTATGATATATTTGAATCACTAATGGAACCTATTAGTGAACTTGTCGATCGTACTGATGGTAGTCAAATGTCATTACTTGCTTTATTACAAATTCTTTATGAAATTGAACAATGTGAAAGAGAACGTAAACCAACACAAAATTCTAAAAATTTATCAACAAATAAAGGTGGAAAAGATAATGATAAGAAAAAACAAAAACAACGTAGTAAAAGTCCAGGAAAAGGAAAAGATGTAGGAGCACGTAAGAGAAGTCCTGATAATGGAAAAGGAAAATTAAAAAAAACAAAAGCTGTTAAAGATTTAATTGATGCTGCTAAAGCAACTCGTATTGTACCTGTTAAAGAAGTTAAAGTTCAAATTGATCAACCAATTAATGAAGATGATGAAGAACGTTCTGTAGAAGAATTACTTGAAGATTTATGTTTTTTGTTACTAACGGATTCTCGCATTGTATGCCTCTTTGTATATTTTTTTTCTCTTAATTATTCTCTTTTGTTTATTTATTAAAAGCAAGAAAAAATTGAACCGGATGTTCTAACTGATGTTAGTTTATTATTGTGGAACAAATGTCGACCAGTTCTAAGAAAACTTTATAATGAACCGAATGATAATCCACGATGGTTAACACGACTTGATCATGATCATACTAAAGTAAGAATTTTATTCTTCGAAAAATCGATAGAAATAGTTAGATTTATTATGTTTGGATAAAATTTATTTTGATTCAAGAAGTTTTGATTTTTGTAAGCTTGGATTTCACTAGATTTATCTCTATTAACTGGAAAGGAAATTTAAAACATATAGATACCATACAAATTTCTAATCCACAACCTTGCATGTGTATTAAAAAGTTAAACCTTAATTATCCTACAACGTTATATTGTACCAACTTATAAGATGGTAGAAAAC